AATTTATTTACTTATTTTATTTTATTTAATCTTATTTTAAAAAAAATTAATTTAATTTAATGGGTTTTTAAATCTTGATTTTGCCTGTCGTATCCCTCTCAAGCCCAGGCTCACGTGCCACACTCAATGCAGGGTCCAGCACCAGACCACACAGCCACCACTACATCCATACAGGAATATATAGGTGTACACACAGGGAAAGATCCCCTTTGTCCAGGGATCTGAGAGCCTGGATCATCACTGCCTAAGCATTTGTGCTGGGTGCATTGACCAACCCCTGACAGCAGCATCTGCCCTGCCCCAAGGACTGGGAGTCCAATTCCCACCATCAGGAGCCAGTGTCCTAGAGCAACCCACAGTGTCACTGCCTGGGGTCACCCCCGGAGAGCATCACCCCCATAGAGTGTCACCCCAATAGAGCAACACCCCAACAGAGCATCAACCCCATAGACCTTCACCCCCATGGAGCTTCACCCCCATAGAGCATCATCTCAATAGAGCATCACCACACAGACCAGCACCCACACAGAGTGTCACCCCCACAGACCATCACCCTCCTAGACTATCACCCTCATAGGCTGACAATCTCATAGGGCATCACCCCCAATAGGGTGTCACCTTCATAGACTGTTACCCCCATAGAACGTCACCCCCATAGAGTGTCACCCCCATAGACCATTACCCTCATAAGGTATCACCCCCATAGGGTGTCACCTTCATAGACTGTCACCCCCATAGGACGTCACTCCCAAAAATTATCACCCCCATAGAGTGTCACCACCATAGACTGACACCCCCATAGATGATCACTCCCCTAGAGCATGACCCCAATAGAGCATCACTCTCATAGGTCCACACCCTCATAGGGTGTCACCCCCATAGGGCATCATCCCCGCACTGGTTCCCAGCCCAGGACTGGGTACCTGGAGGCTGCCCAGATGCACTTACCCCGGGCTGGGCAGCGGTGGGACGGAAGCGCAGATCCCTCTGTTCCCGCTCCTGCTGGTTGAGGGTGCTGAGCAG